ACTGAGACAAAATATTTTGCTCCGATTTTTATGGGTAAACACATTAAAAAAAAACTCTTTTCATCAAAATATACTTTAAAAAAAACAAAATTTTCTAAATTAAACATAGCTTAGTTTATTTTTGTTTTTTTTTCCGTTTAAATAATAATTTTATAAGATTTCCCTCCCCAGTAAAAAAAAAAAAACAAACAAAAACAACCCACATGTGAACGATTTATCTAACCACCCTAATACGACAACAAAAATATTTTCTCCTTATTTATTCTTGTTTTAATAACCAGTGACGTCATTGTGATATTCCGTGAGCATGCGCAGTTACTCGATTTAAAAAAAAAATTATTACAAAAATCAAGCTTTGTGTTTTGTTTTTTAAAGGAAATGTTAGCGTTTAGAGTAGCAAAGTTCACGATAACCTTGGCTGCGTCCCTTCCTACATTTTACAGAGAAAGCTTGTTCATACAACAATAGAGACATGGACAGAAAAGGTCACAATGACCGTCATAGTTTAACATTTCCGACGGTTTTTTTCTTCACCTTAACCGTAAGGCCGGTGTTTACTGAATAATTCTTTTATTTCTTTTTTTTGTAATCTAATTTAAAAATTTCGAACCGTTTGCAAAAGTCAATTACAGTTTAATCATCGTTATTGGAATAATAATAATGTTATGACATTTAATCAGAATTATAGAAATAATAATCATTAGATAACATTAATGCTGAAATATTTTTACTCGCACTAAAATACATTGATATTCGTTGTAAAAAAACAAATCGCTAGGCTCTTTTAGTCTATATATATATATATATATATATATATATATATATATATATATATATATATATATATATATATATATATATATATATATATGTGTGTGTGTGTGTGTATGTATGTATGTATATATGGTCAAAAAATACAGAACTACTAAAGGCATTTAAGAATATATTTACAAAAAAAAAACCCACCCAAAATCTAATTTTTAAAACGTTTAATTTTGTTCAGAAGTATCCTATATTGAGGAATCGAATATTGATTTAGTCACCTGACTTATATGTAGTTTGACCACACGTAAAAGTTGACTTCCATTCTGTAGTGGTGCCCCAAGACAACTTTTGGTTAACTAGTTACGAAAGTTGACTTGCATAATTTCTACTGCTGCATCGGCGAGTGGTTTTATATCAACTTACACAACTATAGCTTGAAACACAAATACAATTTAGTTTACGTTGCAATGGTTTTTTGAAAGGGGAAGAGCACTGCCGAATTGACATGTCAGGCGGAGTTATCCCCCTGTCACGTGGTTCGGGCATGCTGCGCTACTTTCTATTAATGAAGTTTAATTAAAGTGGACAGCTTCGCCTTGCATCGCAAAGACAGAAGAGGGATAAAGAAAAAATCTGTCGGGGGGTAAAAAAAAATCCGATCTTGTTCTTCGCGGGAGAAATCTCTTCGGTGAAAAGTTTCCATAGGGCGTAGAAGCAAACAGCGTAGGCAAACAATATTTTTTTTTTATTCTCTCGATTGTTTTCTACAAAATTAAAACGGCTGTCGTCTTTTTTTTTTCCCTTTTTTTTTCTTTCCTCAACACCACCCCCCCCCCCCCCCCCAACAACAGCTGATGTGTTTAAATAAAATCTGCTCAGCTAAAACAAAAGGCCGAAAAAAATCAAGCGAAATTTTGTTTTTTGTTTTATTGTGAGAAGATTTTGTTGAATTTGCATTGAATCATACTCACACAGAAGATGGCAATTAAGCTTTAAAAGTGACAGACACAAGAAAAAAGAAGAAAAGAAAGCTACACACGCGCAAGAGTTTGAGAAGCGCGCGCTTTCTTGGCACGCGCGCGCGAAATAAAAAATAAAAACACCACGGAAACCTCGAAAATTTGAAAAGAGAGATTTAAAATTAAAGAAAAAATAAATGTTACCCTTATAATCAGATGCGTCAAGATGCAGTAAAATATTAAAAATTGTTCGTTATAGAAAAAATAATTGTAAATATTGTTAAAATAATTCCTAGTTCTGTAACTTTCATGTGCTTTAACTAACAGAGGCGTGGTTTGTGTGTTTTGTGAAATGTGGTTAAGTTATATTAAAAAAAAGAAATATCTATATTTTTTACCGTAGATTCCAGCGTATAAGGAACTAGGGTGTATAGGAGCTCTATGTAAACTATGGTTTTGGATATCACCATCATCTTTGCCATATTATGCCCAAGACACATGGGGCCGCCACATAAAGCTCTTTCCTCTTTTGTCCATCTTTGGCAGTTTTCTCGGCAGTCCCCGAGATAGTCCTGTCTTTGTCAATTTCTTCTTCATCTGATCGTCTCCACGTCTCTCTTGGCCTTCCCTACCTTCGGATATACTTGCCCTTTATTGTATGAGACTACCCTCGAGTTTTGAGGTATTCCTATGTTAAAATGTCCTCACATACGCTGAAACACTGTACTTTGTGGTTTATGTTTTTTTACAGCGTAGTCGGGAGATGGTGCATTCGACTGCTAACCCGAAAGGTTTGAGAATGGTTCTCAGTCTTGTTTATGTAGGATGCAGCTGAGTCCACCCAGCTCTGATGCGTACCTAGTCACGTTAGTAAAGTAAAGGCAGAGACCACGCTATTTATTTATATGCCACGATCTCAGAAATAGATCAGCTCTACTTCACCTGCCGTTTAGATCGGTTAATTTTTAAGGATAACGACTTGTGGTGTATGAGTATGTGTTTGCTGGGAATTAAAATGTGTGATTTTAAAAAGCAAACGACGTACTGACATGCAAAAAATGATAAATGTACTGCAAATGTAGCTATTTCACAACACAATGCATTGAGGGTTTCATATTTAAAATATATTTTTATAAATGCATTTCGTAACTATGCAACGGAATGTAAATATAAACTGTAAACATTCGGTTTCAAATTACAATGTTGAAAATATATTTACTGGCTGAATTTTTAAGCATGTTTTTTTTTTGTTGTAAAGAAAACATTTATGACAACTTTAGTATTTTCTTTCTGTGGATTTACAAAGGCGATGTCTCATTTTCCCGTCTCGAATACACATACAAAACAGTGACACAAAATAAACAGACGTAACATTATGATCGTTCTTTTGAAATGTATCACCATCAAAATACACCTTCCTTGTCCTAAGTTTTTACAAATTCCGTTTGATGCTTATTCTGCCGCTACAAGAAATTTCACACCGAAGTGCGCACTGTGCTGAGTATTAGCATTGCAGGGCTGAAGCGTAGGTTAACGGCTGGGCAATAAAATTTCAAATATTGATTTTTTATTGGAATGATCGTTGGGCGGCCGGCGATTGTTTGAGCGTGTTCGCTTGAATAATTCACGGCCTCGCTCGTGGGACGTCGCGGTGGATGAACACATTCCTGAGGGGTTTTATACCGCGAGGCTGCTCCCTGACCTCAAGTGATGCATTCTGGGAATAAGGGTTTTACGGAAGTTTTACGGAAGTGGTTTAGTATGATGGTAAGAGGCAACGTTTGCTGAATCCTGAAAGTCTTGAGTTCAGTTCTGAGGCTTGTTTTCGTGTACCCATACACTAGTTGCGTATACCCATCCACGAATAGCATTCATCCACCAATTACATCCACCCATACACCATTGTCTTCCACCCATCCACCAATGGCATCCACCCATCCACCAATGGCATACACCCATCCATCAATGGCACACACCCATCCATCAATGGCATCCACCCATCCACCATTGTCATCCACCCATCCATCAATGGCATCCACCCATCCATCAATGGCATCCACCCATCCACCATTGTCATCCACCCATCCATCAATGGCATCCACCCATCCACCAATGTCATCCACCCATCCACCAATGGCATCCACCCATCCACCAATGGCATCCACCCATCCACCAATGGCATCCAGCCATCCATCAATGACATCCATCCATCCACCAATTAGATCCACCCATCCACCAATTATATCCACCCATCCACTAATTACATCCACCCATCCACCAATTACATCCACCCATCCACCAATTAGATCCACCCATCCACCAATTATATCCACCCATCCACTAATTACATCCACCCATCCACCAATTACATCCACCCATCCACCAATTACATCCACTAATCCATTTACGGCGTCCACCAACATTAATTATAAGGAGCAAAAGCGTTTTTGCAACTTGAACGTTGTATGCAAGGTGCTCCGAAATGATGTATAAACGTTTATTTGTATTTTACAAAATGACTGCGTGTCTTGACCGCGTAGCTTATTTGGAACGCTGGCTTCCACCTATCCACCGTTACTGTCCCCCATCCACCAATGACGCCCACCCATTCATCAATTGCATCCACCCATCCAACTTTTACATCCACCAGTGATATCCACCGCTCCACCAACGGAGTCCTCCCATCCACCTTTAACACCCACCCATCCACCATCATCGTCCACCTTTCCACCAACCTACAATAACAAAGTTTATCCACCTCTCATTACCTCTAGGTTATACAAAGATAGTTGTTAACATTTTCTAAAGCGTTAAAAACATGGACCTTGAACAATAATCACACATCCACCCATCCATCAACAGCGACCACCAACCCACCAGCCAATAATAAGAACGGTTTCCTCTCCTTACCTCTAGGTTTATACAAAGGCAGTTGATAACATCGTCTAAAGTGTTTAACAAGATGGACCTTGAACATTCACACATCCACCCATCCACCATTAGCGTCCACCCATCTACCACCCGTCCAAGAATTTAACAAAATGGACCTTTAACATTCACCCATCCACCATTAGCGTCCACCCATCTACCACCCGTCCAAGAATTTAACAAAATGGACCTTTAACATTCACCCATCCACCATTAGCGTCCACCCATCTACCACCCGTCCAAGAATTTAACAAAATGGACCTTTAACATTCACCCATCCACATTCATCAACAGCGACCACCAACCCACCAGCCTATAATAACAACGTTTTCCTCTCTTAACCTCTAGGTTTACACAAAGACAGTAGATAACATCGTCTAAAGAATTTAACACAATGGACCACCACCGCCGCCATTTCTCCAGAACTTCGTCTCTGATACCTCTAATGGTATTTATCTTGGATTATGTAGCTGTTGACGTCATCGCCAGCACGACCTGGGAACACCTGTCATGTAAGTCATCTGTGATGTCTGGTGTGTAGTGGGTCACGTGTGTAGTGGGTCACATGTGTAGTGGGTCACGTGTGTAGTAGGCCACATGTGTAGAGGGTCACGTGTGTAGTGTGTCATGTGTTTAGTGGTAACGTGAGTAGACAACGTGTGTAGTGGGTCACATGTGTAGTAGGTAGACCACGTGTGTGGTAGACTACGTGTGTAATGGGTCATGTGTGTAGTAGAACACGTGTGTAGTGGGTCACAAGCGTAAAGTGTGTTGTGTGCCAACTGCGTCAATTGCCTATAGTGCTTCACATGTGTAGTGGGTCACATGTGTGCTGATCCAGGCGTGTTAGCTGTGTTGTCTAGTATGTAGTTTTAACCGTGTAGTGTGTTATTTGTATAAAGCATATCTTGTTCTTTCTTTACTATTTTCTTTCTAAATCTCGGATATTTATTTTTTCTAAACCGCCGAATACGGCTTAACCCACTGTTAGCTTTTATTAAAATACATCAAAAAATATAGAAGGATTAGCGTAAAAAAACTATGCCTAGAATTTTAATTTTAAGACAACCGGAAGTTGAATATGGTTTTTAAACATTATTTGGCGCGCAATAGGCAATGGATGTTGTGACCGTAAAATAACAACCGAAATTCATTTCACTATCTACAACGCTCGTTTTGTGTTCCTATCTACACTACATTTGTCTACCCATTTTATTGATCTTCACCAACCATTCTTTAACCATCAACTTTACACCAACCAGTGTTTCTTTCAGACAAATTTTCCGGGGGGGGGGGGGGAGACACTGTTAAAAGTATATATATATATATTTTTATATAAATCCCATTTTGTTCGAGGGAGGGGGGGGGCGGTAGACTTTTCCGCTCCCCGAAGAGATGCTTGAAAGAAACTCAGACACCAACTATTCTTCCATCTTTTTTTTGCCATCAACACTACGCTTAGCCAACCCCATTAACTGGCTTTTACTAACCACCCTCCAAACACCATTTTCCCAACCTCTTTCCGTATTGCTCAACCCGATGCGAAATCCTAAATTAAACACACGTCCGTGTAAACACACGGCAAACATTTGCTCCAAACAACCCGCACGCCATATCTAAAAACCCTAGTACAAATACCCGATCTATTAATACACTTACACATCAAAGGGAATCCCCGAAGATAAAAAGGGTATCATAACTCAAAACAAATATTGTAAATCTATCCTCCGTGATACAATTATTGTGAATTTAGCCGGCGTATCGCCTCTCATAGGACCGTCCCTATCATTTCGAACCCATTTATATTCTTTCATGTAGAATGTGATTTCATGGGCGTCTTCTCTCAACGCGGGTGGTATTGAGATAATTCAGTGCTTGACTCTAAATTCTTTGTATTTATATACTTTTTTGTGCTGACGTATTTTCTTTTATTTATTACGATAAATTGAGGTCGGCGTGGTCGAGTCGGTAAAGCTCATGGTAAATCGAAAAGTCTCGAGTTTGAACCCTCGGGCAGATGAGGCTCGTTATTTGGGGACAGAAACTCTTCTAGACAACTCCATAATCAAACAACAGTTTGTTTTTTGTTATGCAAAGGCTATAGAAGCAAATTCAAAAAGAAAATCAGCCTGAAATCGGAGTCAACGGTCTCAACCAGTTAACACGTATACTTAATTGTGTTGGAGGGGATCGCGTCCAACACTAAAGTTAAGAACGAAGAAGAAGATTACGAAAAATTAAAGTTTTACAATTGAAATAATGTATCGAAATCAATACATTGTTATTTTTGTTTTAGTTTTTAACAAATAGATTCATGGCTTCGAACAAAACCTTAACACTCTATGACAGCCACAGGCGTAGAGTAGAATACTTTAAAACCTTAAAAACAAAACACCGATTATCATAAAACAAGTGAAATATAATAAATTTAATTATCGAAACAAAACATTATGTAAATAAGTAATTTTTTTAATATGTTTATATTATCATCACTACATTATAATTTATTTAATTTTTTATAGTCAACTTATTTATTTTACACTTTTCTCAAAACCTAAACAGTTTTGTTAAACGAAGTTGTCTTCGATTTGCCTGAATCGCTTTCCCAAAATTTCTAGTACCGCGCCAAGAATGTCGCATTAATTATGTATCCCATAATCCTATACTTACATGGACAGGAAGAATTTGTTAGGGTTTTGTTGTAGTGTTGTTTGACTATTTTCTAGAATATTAGAGACACATTTGTGATTGGTTTGATCACTAAACTGTCTTCTGTTTATAAGACAGATATTGTAGTTGGTTTTATGACTTAAATTTTTTAACGCAATTTCCATCTATAATAATAGTTTCGCTGTCTCTCTATCTATCTATCTATCTATCTATCTATCTGTCTGACAAGAACGCTCTAGAGAAAACACAAGCAATTTAAAAACATGCACAGTAATTCGAAAAACGAAATATGACGTCGACACATTTAGCGTAGAGTAGAACATAATCTCAAACCAGAGAGTGCACACAGTAATGTAATGACGTCATTGAAACATTGAAAAAAAGGAAATGTTGTCTAATCTAAATGGTTTGCGTGAAGCGTTTCTTGCATAGAATTCTTCGAGTAGGGGCGAAGCCCCACCCCCCGCGTAAGAACGTCTGAGCCCCCCCCCCCCCCCCCCCCAACTCAAAAGAAATTTCCTCATCGATACTCTATAATAAAATTACCGCCTAATTAATGTGTCTAATCTAAAAAGTGGTTTTCTTGCAATGGGACGGTAGACATGTTTTTTTTTGGGGGGGGGGGGGGGGGTGGAGGGGGGGGTGGTGTAAGGGGGTGGGGGGGGGGTGGGGGGGGGTGTGGGGGGGGGGTTGGTTTCAGTGTTTCTTTCAGACTTTTTCCTCCCCGGAGAGGGGTGGGGGGTACTTGAAATTTTCGGGGGCGGGGGTAGAATTTTCTGGGAGGGGGCGGACACTGGAAAAAGTATATAATTATATTTCGTTGAATGGGATGGTAGACATGTTTTTTTTGGGGGTGGGGGGTGGTGGAGGGGTGGGGGGGGGTGTGTGTGGGGGGGGGGGGTGGGGGTCGGTGTGTGGGGGGGGGGGGTGGGGGGTGGTGTGTGGGGGGGGGGGGGGTTGGTTTCAGTGTTTCTTTCAGACTTTTTCCTCCCCGGAGAGGGGTGGGGGTACTTGAAATTTTCGGGGGCGGGGGTAGAATTTTCTGGGAGGGGGCGGACACTGGAAAAAGTATATAATTATATTTCGTTGAATGGGACGGTAGACATGTTTTTTTTTGGGGGGCTGGGGGGTGGGGGGGGGCGGTGTGTGGAGGGGTGGTGTGTGGGGGTGAGGGGTGGGGGTGGGGGTGGTGTGTGGTGGGGTTGGGGGTGGTGTGTGGGGGGGGGTGGGGTGGGGGTGGTGTGGGGGGGGGTGGGTTGGTTTTAGTTTAGAGAAAAGAGACAGCACTATCAGCCTAGCGCCCGTTGTACCCTTCCTCAACGGGCCATTTTTCTCGTTCTGGAGAATTGCGTTTATTAACCCGTCATTTCTGGATGTATGAATGTATGAATGGATGGATGTGTGTCCGCAGCTTTAAGTCGTATCTCCTCCTCAACGAAGCAATATCGATGACTAGTTCCAAAAGCAATTAGGTTAAGCAAGTTACGAGGATGAACATAGGCTATAAAAATTCCGGGTTTCTTTCATGGATTTCCCGGAAAAGCCAAAAAACCTCGAAAAAAAGCAGTTTTTAGCCCATATCTCGGCAACCAGACCACTTAGCGACTTGAAACATGTACCAATCGATTCCTGCCATAATTTAGAACAATATTGCCGAAGAAAGTTTTCAAAAATATCCTTTCGTTCGGTCACAAAAATTTTTTTGAATTAATTAAAATTTGGACCGAATTAGTAGGCATTTTTTCCAACCACACCACACGCGTCATCACGTTCAATAGCTGCACCATCACGTTCTATGGCTTCGTCATCACGTTCAGTAGCTAGGCGCGCAATGTTTTTTAGTCATGTAACTCTATTGTAAATAAAACATGTATTTTAACCAATGGTTTTACTAACCCTGCTCTTGATTTACGCTACGACAGAGCTATTTTTAGATAACATAAGGAAATTGCGCTAAAATTGTCACTAGACTTTTTAATTAACTTGTTCTTCTATTTACAAATCCGACTTTAAAGTAGACCCGTATCCAATTGTTAAAAGTAGATTCCTATCCAAGTCTTAAAAGTAGATTCCTATCCACCAAGATTTAAAAGTAGATTCCAATCCAAATGTTTTTGAAGTATAAAAGCTCCGTAATCCCCCTGTATATGTTAAGCGCTTTGTTTTGTGAAGTGTGTTTTTAAAGATATAAACTCTTTACTTGGTACGATTGAAGCGTTGTAATGCATGCCTTGTGCCGTGTGATCACAGCTTTCTCCGCCCTTTGGTTACTTTAGTTTCACGATCACATATACTTCTTATATGCTTGTGAAAAAATATGCTATGTGACCGCTTGTTTCATTATAGTATTATACTCCTCTTAATTCATAACCGTCATCATTTTGTTTCGCGTTCGTGTCAAAGACACATGGGGCAAATGAAGTAGAGTTTATCTGTTACAATGACCACTGCGATGAGGGGGATAGTGTGGTCAACACTATCTCCAACCAACCGCTTTAGTTTCCCTAACATGAGTCAGGTACCCATCAGAACTGGGTGGAATTTTAATTAGGTGTTCTTAATGTGTGTAAATCCCTAGCAAAACGTTATGCTGCCAATTAGCTAGGTGTTCCAGATCTATGTAAGTCTTCAAGCACAATTTACCCCCCCCCCCCCACCCCGCACCACACACACACACTCTATGACATGTATGTACTCACATTAAACTCCAATTCACGTGCCTTGTGAGCGCATCCCCCAACCCCCTCCCCCTCGCGGCATCTGCGCATGCAATCAGCGCATCAACGTCATCAGCTTACACCAGACAATAGACGCACACCTGCTTGTGCGTAACGCACCGGCT